CCGGCCTCAGGGGAGGGCCGGCCTGCAGCCAGCTGGCCCTCGTCGAGCTCCAGGTGCGGCCTGGGAGTTCTGGGGGACGCACGGGGCCGCAGAGCCGTCTGCAGAAATCTACTTTAACTAAAGTTTACAATTCAGCACACATCACTGACACCGGCAAACAAACCCAGACCCAACGAGTCCCCGGTGTCTTTTTTATAATGTAGACTTAAATTACATGCTCCAAGTGCATTTTTTAACTGTATTTTTAAAATAAAACCGGTATATGGCGTGCGATAAACAAAACTCCGGCGGCATAGAAAGACGGAAAATCAAAAAGTAGAAGTTCCCCTCCCTCCCCACCCCGACACCCCTCCCAAAAGGGAGATAACAGGTACCGGAGGATCTGTCTCCGAAACATCGCATGTACTTGCCCGAGCATATGCGTGATTAATGTGTAGAGATACATGCTATTTCCGTGTACCCACATGGTCTCATACGGTTTACACTCTTCTTTGACTTTGGTTGTGTGTGTGTGTGTGTGTGTGTGTGTGTTGTCCACATACTCAAATGACTTTTATTGGGTCAATTTGCATGACCCTAAACATTAAACTAGGGTTTGGTCGCCTGTTGCAATACACAGCAGCTTAGCAAGGGTGCTGAGGATAAATGCACCATGGCCCTTGCCCCTGACGCTCAGCTGCGGTATTGTTTAGCTTATTACTTCCTTGTGTTTCTGTTTCCATAAACATCCGCCTTCTCCAGCTTCCTTTCCGCGCTCTGTGCCTCTGGGACCCTCCCATCTCGTTCCATAATAAATACACCATGGCCCTTGCCCCTGACGCTCAGCTGCGGTGTTTAGCTTATTACTTCCTCGTGTTTCTGTTTCCATAAACATCCGCCTCTCCAGTTTCCTTTCTGCGCTCTGTGCCTCTGGGACCCTCCCATCTCGTTCCATCCAGGCGTCCCAGTGCCAGGCATCCCAGCGGCCTCATTCATTGATCCCACCTATTTTTGATGGTCATTGATAGGTTGTTCCGGGTGGTTGGTTGTTTACTTCTGCTGTTACAAGCAATGCTGCAGGGAGCATCCTTGTACCCATGCTTTGCCACATTTTTGCACGTGGATCTAAAAGGCCAGCTCCCGGGAGTGCAAGCTCTGGGTCAAAGACTCGCATATGCTTCTTTTGACAGGTTTTGTCCCAAAGGCTGGATCAGTTTACACTTTCAGCGGCCCATCTGCTCGTTCGCCTCCCCTTCCCCTCGCTCTTGCCAGCACTGGGCACGATCAGGCACGACGATCTCCGGCTGTCTGATATGTCATCGCGGTTTTGATTGGGCTGTGTCTCGCCGTGACAGGAGTTGAGCATCCTTTTTGTCGGTGTGCGGGCCATTTCTGTTCATTTTCCTCTCGCCTGTGTGATTTAATAATATCCGATTCCATTTCCGAAGATAGAGAGCTTTTCTAGCCAATCTCTCCCTCCATCTCCCCTCTCAGGTCACCCCATCGCCTTCAAGACCCAAACCGCTTCCCCAAAGCTGTCCCCCTTCCCTGCGGGAGAGATGGGGGAGAGATGAGAGAGCCTGTGATGGGCTGGACGATGGGTCTGAGGAGAACGGGAAGTTTGCCAGAGCGGGGCGCCCACTATCTCCCCAGCATCAGGCTATACACAGTGAGGACAGACAGATAAGAGCTGCAGCTGGTGGCAGAGATAAGAGGCTTGGACAGCCAGAATGTTCTAGATAATGCTGCAGAGCCAGAGCGAGCGGGGGCTTCTGCAGTCCCAGGACAGAAGGTGGGGCCCGCTGGGTACGACGTCAGTGCTGAGCTGGTTAGCTGCTGGGCTTGGAGCCCGAAAGGCTTGTGGGACCCTGGCCCTGCCTCCTCTTACCTGTAAGACCACGGGTCAGTGACGGGCTGTTTCTGAACCTCAGTTCCCTCCCCTCTGACGTGGGGGTTAGCCGCTCCAGGGGATGAGCATGGAGATGGAGTGAAAGGCTCTCAAATGCAGACCCATGACCGTTTGCACCTGTCTGCACAAAATGAGAAAAGTGAAGCTAGTGTAGTGGGCTTTGCATAAAATTTGTTTAAAGCTTACACAAATGGCTTTCATGCTGAGATTACATTTCTTTTCTCTTTTTTTACCTCAAAAACGTCCTTTATAAATAAAATGCTAACCATCTCTATTTATTTTTCTCTCCCTGCCTGGCACTTTTTAATATACTCTCTCTCTCTCTCTCTCTCTCTCTCTCTCTCTCTCTTAGTGTTTCATGGTTCAGTTTTTTTGTCTGTTTGCCTTTTGGTTGACTGGTTTTAATAATCTTACTTGGATAAATAAAAATTGACAATCTTATGGCAATCCCCCATATTTTAAGTGTTACTGGTCCATGATATGTAATAATCTGGGAACTGCTGTGTGAAGTGAGGAAATGTATGAAAAGTACTTATTACAGCAGCATTATTGTGAGATAGTGATGGTGGTGATGGTGGTGGTGGTGATGATTATGATGGTGGTGGTGGTGGTGATGGTGATGATGGTGA